CTTTTACCTAACATATTGTCGTTAATTCTACCAACATTATTAAAAAAAAAAGATATAATTGAAGGCTGCTCCTCAGTGGAAATCAGACATTACTTTTTATTTTACGATGCGTTCAAGATCAACAGTTATTTCTTAGGAATGTTGTTATTTTGGGAGACAATAGAGAAAATATTATATATTTTTTTTTTTTTGGCACATCAGAGCCAATCAAGACTTAGTATTGCATCCTGGCCAATCACGGTGAACGTTAACAAAGACGCAGCAGACGTAATAACAGGTGGCGGAGCAAGGTTAAGTTGTTTTAGGTTGATTAGGTGGGTTTCGTTAAATTTGTTTTTACACAAATCAGTTTTACAGGTTAAGAGCTGTTATTCCACCTCAGCTCATTTGAAAACCCCATCTAAGGTATACTAAACCCCCCCCCCCAGGATGCAACCCACACCAGTTCACTAGCACCCAGGTACCTACTTACTGCTAGGTGAACAGTGACAGCAAGTGTAAGGTAACTAATACCCAGGTATCTACTTACTGCTAGGTGAACAAGGGCGGCAGGTGTAAGGAAGCATGCCCATCGTTTCCACCCATACCGGGGACCACACCATGGATGCTCAGTGTGTGAGCTAAGTACGCTGCCTACCGAGCACACCATAATATTATGTCTAATATAAAACATATTCAGTACTGTACAATTTTAATTATATTCTATTGCTAAATTTAGCTGAAAGGCCGCATCATTTGTTACTGAAAACAAACTAATCATAATTGTGCAAGGATTAGTTCAAAGTTTATTCTCTATAAGGATTACAATGCTGAGTTTACAGAATTTGGTTGTTGTGTTGTGTAGTTAAATAATGATTACAGAGTGTACCACTAGAACGCCTAGCATGGCTAGGCATTTCGGGCAGACTTAGTTTAATTCTTAATTTTAAAATATTACAAATTATGAGGTAAGTTGGTATTATGGCTAAGTGACTAAATACTAGTTTGTGAGTTTAGCAATGTGAATGCTTTTGTTTTGGCACAGCACATAGTTTCAGTATTGGAGTATCATAGGATTCATTATTTTAAGATTGAGGTTAATATTTCTGTTTATGGTCAAATGGGTGAGTGAGTGTGTGAACCACCAGGTGGTATTCGTGCAGTTAGTTGACGGGGTGTATCAGGGAGATAAGATGTTTTCTAATGGTAGTTTTGAAGGTAATGAATGTGTCTGCAGTTCTAGAGTTCTCAGGTAGGGTGTTCCAGATTTTAGGGCCTTTGACATAGATTGAATTTTTGTAAAGGTTTAGTCGGACACGGGGAATGTCGTAGAGATGTTTGTGTCTGGTGTTATGCCTGTGGGTTCTGTCACACTGGCCTACAGTTGTGTATGGCTGTGTAACCAGTAATGGCATATACATCTGTAGTATCAGGCTTTAGCTAGGTTTCGGTGAGAGTAATGACGGATATACTGGCATGCAGGGAATTAAGTAATGCTATGAGGTCATCGTAATGTTTGCTTAAAGATTTGATATTGTAGTTAAAGACGGTTATGTTGTTGTTGGCTCTGAGAAGTGCATGGGCCAGTAGGCCTGCGGCAGTGTTCCTTCTTATTGTTCTATGTTCTTATGTTCTATGAATCGAACCCGGGCCTTCCGTGTGTGAAGCAAGAACTTTAGCCATCAGGCCACCGGGCCACAAAGGAATTAATGTTGATATGTTTGCCAAGAAGAGTACCCAGAAGGAGAATGCAGAATATAACTTTGGTATATCTGTGTCTAGCATTAGGAATAATATTAGGAGAGAAGTAAGTAATGAAAATGATTGTTATAGGAGCGCAGTTAGAAGCCTAAGTAGATCTATAACCCACTATGATAACATGAACGTAGATAAGTATGTTTATGGAGCAACTTGCAATATGAACAGACTGACTGATGTTATAGTGGCCAGGCTTTGGGGCCAGTAGGGCAATTTTTCGTGCGCTTCAAAAAAAAAAAATAGAAAAATTATGGAAATTGAGTTATTCATACAAAAAAATAGCTTAACTCTTTGGCAAAACGATGGTACAACAATCAATGTTAGTAAGTAAGTAAGTAAGTAAGTTTATTCAGGTATACACAAATACAGTTACATAGAATTATCATACATAGCAGCATATGTGTAGAGAACCTGGGATAACCCAAAAAAGCCAAACAGAGTGACTTATTTCCATTGGGGTCCTCTTACCTTATTATTATATAAAGGTTATAATATTTTCTTATTATTCTATAATGAAGATAACATCTTATTATCATACTAAAAAGACTCTCTATGGTGGAAAATTATTTGATATTCCGAAGCTATAGGCCTAATAGGTGTTTTTAATGTGTCCGTAGAGTCCAAAAATGTATTTGCATAAGGATAAACCAAGAGTTCCCTTTGCGCATGCGAGATGTGCGGGGTATAGTTCGAACTGGGTACGCGGAGGCGGCATGCTTTGGAAAAAAAAATTGTCGTGGAGGAGGCTTAGAAAGCATAGGGAACCAGAAATTTGCGTTCACTGGCGGCCTAAGGATTAATATACCTCATTTCATAATAGGAAGTGTCATAACAGAATTCCTGGTGGAGAGTGGAGGGAACGAGATTCCACGGGACCACCGTAAAAAGGTGGTAAAATTAGTGAATAATGGGTCGACCGGGTGTGCCTGGTGCGGCATCATTGTGTGAGACCAGGGGAAATACCCGTGCTTAATTCACTCATCGGCCTCAGATCTTAATGGATGACTTCTAAACGAGTATAAATAATTATGAGACTTATCGTCTTGTGAAATGAAATGTAATCCGTGATAATACATTCAGTTAAAGAAATCGGGATGTGAAATAGATCCGCCCTGCACCGAGTGAAACATGATCTCGTACCGAGGATAAGTGGAAGTTTTTAAAACGGATCACGACTTCTAAACCGGACTAAACCAACGTATACCTCGTCCCCTATCTGGAATGATAACCGTGTCGGTGTAGCAGGCTCGAAATGAGATGTGAATGGAGGAAATAATGAGTATCAATCACCCCACAGTTAAGTAACCCTTCCTAGTTATAGCAGACTGATATGCGGCCCAGTTAAGTATGTTGGTAATTGGATTATGTTATGAGTGATCCAGCTACATCAAGTGACCCCCAGAGAATATCTTGGTAAGTGGTGGGATTATGTACAAGTGTTTTTTTCCTTGATGGGTATATCCATTTGAACCTAACCCCCCCTTCATTCAGTTAAACTAATAATAATCTATACAGTCCACAATTATAAGTAGCGCCGTAACTTGTGGGTGCTATCCAATCCATTACTGGTCCCCACGGATAGGATATGGATAAATTGTGAGGCGAAGGGACCACCTGCCCATGGACCAGGGTGGTTAAGTTTTTCTCACCGTCTACAGGGGTGACTACGGTAAACAATATTGGTTGTCTCCCCAATGAGATTACTTGTATGAATATAATGTTTGAGTACATACAGAAATCACCCCTAGAAAATTTCCATATCCTGCCCGCTGTCCTTCGAACCGGATTGCAATCATAGGAAAAAAATTAATTGAATTAATTACTTAATAATTAATGACTGATTGAAGGAAGTGGGTATAGGGTACCAAGTTTAATCGATCGTGTGGTGGATGATAATTAGCCCAATATATTGCAAGCACAGGGTGGCTAGGATTTATTACAAGATAAAGTGCAAGAATTACTCTATAGGCACCTACTTAAGTTTGTATAATCAGTGATTAATAATTATCTAACAACCATGACAGGAGTCTAATGGAGTTAATGTGGCTGACAATCCGTGAAATTTAGAGTACTAAAAGCACATTATCAGGCTATTAAAAGCCATGTGACGAAGGCATTTGATTAGTGAATCAAGAACCGTGAACCCTAAAATTAAAGTTATATTTAGTATGCTTTAAGAGTAGATATGATTTGGTACAAATTGTGGATTTAAGACTGTGAAAGAGAACTGCTAGAGAATTGTGCAGATGGAATTGAAAGAATGTTTTAAATTAATCAACATTACAATTGGAAGAAAAACTGTCTTGTAAAAGTAAGGCTTTTGAATAATAAAGGGTGAACCAGGCGTTGATCACCTATTAAATGCAAAGGGTGGGTTTGCCAAACCTCCAGAGTACGGTCTGGAGGAAATCAGACTAGGTCGGCATGAATTTAATTGTTCAATAGCAGACCAGTCAATCCAAACAGTTTCTAAGGAAAATACACATAAATGACTCCTGAAGCATCTGTCAAGACTCAAACGGAAAAATAAATCCCAGTTAATAATCATAGTTAAGAGTTAAATAGGCACATATCAAGTCAGGATCAGTAAGAGTTGTTCCTCACATCAAGGTAAGAGGAATAGAAACTCAGTAAGTGTAACCCAGTTAATAAGAGGTCAGGCAAGAAAGAGAGACTGCCTCTTCTGCCAGGGTACGCATTTCATTCACTAAAAATTGTAATGCCTGTAATCCATGGATATTAAAAGTGGAAAGAATGAAAGAAACTTGACAGATTTAACAGATGTCCTTGACAATCAATAATGTAAAGGATAGTCATCACCAAATTGAACAGTTGCTATCATGTAACATGGGAAGCGCAACATACAGTTATTGCAGGTTGTATATGTATGTGATTTCTTATAATAATGGAGACAATAATGATATGTATAACCCTGACACTACAGTGACTGATGTAAAGGTTGCAGCTAATGGCAATAATGATGGCCTAGCAGAGGTAGCCTTTGCCCGGTACTGGATGTAATAATTCATGATAAAGGGCATTAAAACCAAAAAGCAAGTGGCGTCACTTCTCCTCAACACTGTACGGGCCATGTACTATATGGCAGACAGACCTACCTACCGCCTAGTAATAATACTAGAAGTAATAGTGAATACGTTATCCCCCCGCCAACGTGTCTTGCTCATAAAAGGTCAAAACCCAGTACAAGTATCTTCTATCGAGAATGATGTTGAACCCTCTAATTTTGTGGGGAGCTGGACAGCATGGGGATTAATATAAATGAGGTAAGTTCCCAAAAGATCACTTTACTCAGAACAATACCTTAAGGATTTAAATGTGAATCTGGAACAAAACTGGGTGGCGAGTTCCGTGGAAGCTCGACCGTCCAGAATTACCTACTAATTTAAAGGAAGGCGTATGGACAAGATTAAAGGCCCAGCACTGCGAGAACTGAGCAAGACACCAAAATTGGTTGACTGCTTTATAATGATAAATTATAAACAGTAAATAATAAATTGATACACATTACTTCAGGCGACGATAAATGCAACACCATAAGTGACAGGTGGTCACTGAGCGAAGTAATTGGGTAATAATCATATGTGGACAATTTCCGGGTGGGACGGTCAACTGAAAGGAACTATGATGATATTAAAGGGGTAATGAAAATAATGCAGTAAGGTGCTGGGACTGACTTGGATACTGAGAGAGACTTTTATTGCTAAGTCTTCAAAAGTCCAGTATGCCCAATAACTTAATCCAGGGAGCATAGGCTTATGCCCCTTAGAAATGGAACACTAAATAGTCCATTTTGAGGGTTTCAATAAATATGGATGGCATGGAGTTGTGCCTATATGCAGTAATGTGCAGGGGCTGATTGGGAACTGAGAGAGGACTTGATAATGATAAAGTCTCATAATTCAGTATGCCCAATTAAATTAATCCAGGGAGCAGAGGTCCTTATGCCCCTGAAGAGAATGTAACACTAAATTAGTCCATTATGAGGGTTCAATAATATGGATGGCCATGGGGGAGTTGGTGCCTATAAGCAGTAATGTCTGGGGCCTGACTTGGGATACTGAGAGACTTGTTATTGTAAAGTCTCATATTCCAGTAATGCCCAACAAATTAGCCCGAAAGAAGGAAAGACTTAGTGTCCATACCTTACAATAAGAGGGAAATTTTAAATACCAGAAGCATGAGCATAGTGTGCTTTGGATGGAGCCCTACCTGAGGAGTTAACAGGTGGAAAGAATTAATGGGTGATTATGTAAATATCAATGTTGGAGTTCCCAAGCCCAGGTGGCCAGTGAAGATGGGGAAAATTGTACTCCACATTATGTAAGTCGTCTAGCAACGACCTCCGCCGGCCGCAGGTGGAAAATATTTTAATTTTCCGAACTATAGTGCCTAATAGGTGTTTAATGTGTCCTATAATGGGTCAAAATGTATATGAAAATAGAGTAGAAACCAAGAGTTCCCTTTGCGCATGCGCGATGTGCGGGGTTTGGGGGCGACCTCGGGCCAGGGGAGGCGGAGAGTTTGAATGGGTGAGGAGGCTGGGAAAGCATGGAACCACGAAATTGGCATTCACCGCGCCAAAGGAATTAATATAGGCCTCATTTCATAAAATGGAAGTGTCGAAACAGTTCCAGTGGAGAGTGAAGGAACGTGATTTACACGGGACCACCGTAATAAAGTGGTAAAATGATGAATAAGGGTAAGGACCAGGTGACTGGCCGCGTCACAATGGACTGTGTCCTGGGGAAAATTACCCTTGGTTTAATCATCACGTCATCGGTCTCAGATCTGAAATGGAGTGATCTCAATGTGTATAATAATTTATGAGACATTAAATCGTCTTGTGAAATTGTAATGTAATTAATGATAATAACGTTGAGTTAAGAGAATGCGGGATTGAAATATTCGCCCTGCTCCGAGGTTTTGTGACCTCGTACCGGGGATAAGAAGATTTATTGAATCAACGACTCTAAACCCCGGGACGAACGAACGATTTACCTCGTCCTGCCGGAATAAAGAACCGTGTCGGTTGTTGCAGGACTTCGAAAAGAGATGGTGAATGGGATGAAATAAGGAGTGATCAATCACCACCCACAGGTTAAGTAACCCTTCCTAGTTTATAACAGACCTGAAGCTGGCCGTTAGGTTTATGTTTAATTTGGATAAGTTTATGAGTGATCCAGCTACATCAAGTGACCACCAGATAATATCTTGGTAAGTTTACCTGGAGTTTTTACCTGGAGAGAGTTTTCTGGGGTCAACGCCCCCGCTGCACCGTCTGTGACCAGGCCTCCTGGTGGATCAGCGCCTGAATCAAACCAGCTGTTGCTGCTGGCTGAACGCAAACCAACGAAACGAGCCACAGCCCCGGCTGATCAGGGAAATGACTTTAGTGCTTGTCCAGCCAAGCTTGAAGACTGCCAGGGGTCTGTTGTAATCCCCCCTTATGTGTGCTGGGTGGCAGTTTGAACATTCTCGGGCCCCTGACACGTATTGTATGGTCCTCTAAACGTGCTAGTGGACACCCCTGCTTTTCATTGTGGGATGGAGCAAGTCGACTGCCAAGTCTGTTTGCTTTCGTAGTGATGATTTTCGTGTGCAAGTTCGGTACTAATTTCCCTCTAGGATTTTCCAGTGTCTATAATCAAGTATCTCTCCCTCCTGCGTTCCAGGGAATACAGGTTTAGAAACCTTCAAGCGCTCCCAGTAAATTGAGGTGTTTTATCTCCGTTATGCGCGCCGTGAAGTTCTCTGTACAATTTCTAGGTCGGCAATTTCACCTGCCCTGAAAGGTGCTGTTAGAGTGCAGCAATATTCCAGCCTTGATAGAACAAGTGACCTAAGAGTGTCATCAGGGCTAGGGGCCTTCCCAAGTTTTGAAAGGTTCTCATTATCCATCCTGTCATTTTTTTAGCAGATGCGATTGATACAAGTTAATGGTCCCTTGACGGTTGAGATCCTCCGACCAATAATCAACTCCCAGGTAGTCTTTGACTTGGTGGTTTCGCGCTATTTAGTGGCCAGAATTTGTTTTTACTCTGTGAAGATTTAATTTCCTCATGTTTTACCATATCTGAGTAATTGAAATTTCTCATCGTTGAACTTCATATTGTTTTTCTGCAGCCCACGAAAGATTTGGTTGAGTCCCCTGGAGCCTTGCAGTGTCTGCAATGGAAGACAACTGTCAGCAGATTCGGGTGTCATCTGCAAAGGAAGACACCTGTGCTGTGGCTGACATCCTTGTCAATTCGGAGATGAGGATGAGTGAACAAGATGGGAGTCTAGTACTGTGCCTTGTGGAACAGAGCTTTTCACCGTAGCTGCCTCGGACTTTACTCGTTGAACGACTACTCTCGTGTTCTGTTAGTGAGGAATTATAGATCCATCGACCGACTTTTCTGTTAATCCTTATACGGCCATTTATGTGCCTATTACGCCATGGTCACACTTGTCGAAGGCTTTAGCAAAGTCTGAAAATATTACATCTGCATTCTTTTTGTCTTCTAGTGCTTTTAAGGACCTTGTTAGTAGTGATCCAGTTGTTGAGACAGACAGGAGCGACCTGTTCTAAAAAACACCATGTGCCCTGGGGTTTGTGTATCTGAGGGGTTTCTAGATGCGGTGTGATCTTCTTCATAGGACCCTTTTCAAAGATTTTTATGATATGGGATGTTAGTGCTATTGGGTCTGTAGTTCATTGCTGTGTGCTTTATACTGCCCCCTTGTGAGTGGGGCTATGTCTGTTGTTTTTTAGTAACTGAGGGACACCCCCCCCCCTGGTCCATGCCCCTCTCCATAGGATGGAAAAGGCTCGTGATAGGGATTCTTGCAGTACTTGATGAACTCAGAGTTCCAGTGAGTCTGGCCCTGGGGCAGATTGCATGGCCATGGTCATTTATCGCCCTGTCGAAGTCATTTTATGGCGTCCAGGATAACACGGAATAGGCCTGTGTTAATCAATTTTTGTGGCTCTCTCATAAAAAAATTCATTTTGATCTCGACTCTCACTGGTTAGCCGGCTTGCTAAAAACTGAGTCAATATGGGACTTGAGTAGCTCACTCCATTTCCTTGCAGTCATCTGTGTAGACCCATCTTGTTTTAAGTAGGGGCCCATACTGACGTTTGTTCTCGATTTTGATTTGGCATAGGAGAAGAAATACTTTGGGTTTCTTTTCGATTTCCATTTAATGCTTTTAGTTCTTCCCGCGATATCTGATCCAAAAGGTCTTTTAGCTTAAGTTCGATGCTTGCTATTTCTCTGACCATGTCTCCCTGGCAATTTTTCAATATATTGACCTCTTTTAGCCTGCTCTGTTATTCTTATTTTCCGTCGCCTGTAAAGGGAGCGCCTGGCTCTTTCTATTTTTACATCTACTCCTCCTTTTTCCTTTAGAGAAAAAGCCTAGTGCATAACTCTGAGTGCCAACCGAGTTAATCTGTTTCTAGGGCATAAGTTTGGGTCCTGTGTTGCGTAGTAATATCTTCCCAGCGTATATCGGTTCGGAACTTGGTTTACTTGTCCCACTTTAGTTTTTTTATTGAAATGAATTTGGTGAATGCCTCCCACGTGACTAAGTCTCATTTTGTCGTCTGGGGCTCCACGCATACAATGTCCTGAACCTCAATTATGTTGTGATCGTGAGTATATTGTTTTTTGGATAATGGTGACATTTCCTTATCAGATCATCATTGTTAGTGAAGAAGAGGCTAGTGTATTCTCCAGTCCCTAGTAGGCTCTATTAATTGCTGGTTTAAATTGAATTTTGTGCAGAGATTTAAAAGCTCGTGTGAGTTTGAGTTTTTCATCAGAGCTGCCTCCTGGTGTTATTACAGCAACAATATTATTTGCTTATTCCTCCATTTTATGTGCCTTAAGTTGGAAATCCCCAGGAGCAAATGTTGGGTGCAGGAGCTGGAAGATTTCTCAGACAGTGGTCAATTTTAAACAGCTGCTCCTGAATTGCTGGGATGTGCATCCGGAGTCTTGAGACTACCACAATACTAGTTTTGGTTCTCGACCTTTACTGCTAAAACTTCCACTACGGTCATTTGAGGCATTAAGCAGTTCTGTGCAAACAAGTGACTCTGCCAATGTACAAGGCCAACCCCCCCTTTGCTGTTTCACGAACGTCACATCTGTTATAGGTTTGTAACCTTGGATCCATAATTTCGTTGTCCCAAGTGATCCTTTATGTGGTCTACATTGAAAGCCGCGAACATAGCCTTTGCCTCTGCAACAGTCCACGGATGAAAGAGGTATTT